GACCAAAGATGAGAGCACACTTACATATGTTCATTATTGGTTATACATGTGTGGCGCGCTTCGGCTGTTCCACGCTTTGCCATCGATGCTTCAATGTGTTGTAGAATAATAATTACTTCCTTGCATCAGTTGCGAACCCATTTTAAGAATTGCAGTGTTCTACCATCAAAGCTCGTTATCTTCTGGGCAATCCTCAGTCTTGCAGGTTGTAAATCTGTCATTGCTGCTACTTGATTCACTGCTCACACAGGGGGAAAAATTTCAGCGACAGCAGATTTCCAGTTGGCTGTCGAGCAAGGCTGACGAGCGTAGCTTCATGTGTAAGATCCTTAAAGGGAAGCCATTCTTCATGAACCTGCATCGCACCGGTTCTACATCAGTCGTCGTGTTTACCTTCTCCATTGTTCCCACATTGGAGAAGGCAGCTGCGGTGACAGATTTTCAAGAACATGGCAGGTTCGCGTGCGTGGGACTGTGTAAGGTTCTGAAAGCTAGGTACCCACAGGTAATCCACGCTTGATAAACATGCCTCGCTCCAGTTGCAAATCTGTCATCTCTGTTTCCTACTTTATTGTTTCCACAATGGGTAATCCTAGGGTGGCGAGAGATTTGCAGCCGGCACAAAGTCCACTTGTTCACGAGTTCCCACCGGCCTTAACCCTGAGTATCGTGTTCACAGGGCATGCAGCAGCGGTTGCCCTGCCTGCTGGCGGCCATCCCCCAGGACAGCATCGTGGAGACGCTGTCTGGAGTCATGCGCCTCAACTGCCCCTACTCAGAGCTCTTGGCGCACAGGTCAGCCGCCGCCGACGCATTCACTCACATGCTCACACACGTGTGTTAAGGGTGTTTCACATCATAAGAGCTGCAGCTCCTTGCATGAAGAGATGGTTGGCCGGAACGTGACGGTATGGTATATTTCACATAACTCCGTGCAATCACCTTTTCATTGACTTGTTCGCTAATCAACCACAGCAGATTTTGTGAGGTGACTTTCTTGAGTAGGTGATTTTTGGCTGAGTAATCAGCTCTTCCTGTAAAATAATTTCATAGAGCGTTTATCTCTAATTCGGTCTCGCCGAAATGAGTGACTCGGAATACATGCAAGCCAATATATAAAAAGGCTAATCAAATCTACTAAAGTGTCTTCAGAGCCGGACCTTCCAAATCAGTTTCTAAGCCTGTTGTTAAGACTTGGGTGGGAGCAATTTTAACTACCGTGTTATAAAAACATATTTCTGATTTCAAACTATAATGGATGTATCAGATGTGTTCTGATAACTACTACCTACTGCCAGAATTGTATCTATTTCATGTGCTGAGTGTAATATGGTGGCCAAAGTGTATCTAGCGACGAAGCTGATTAGACACGTGTTGAGTGTGACCTAGCGCGATGTGGTAAGGCACGGTAGTGCAGCTATGTGAAAAGGGCTTGTTTAGAAACGAAATGAGTGTGGCGTTCTGTGGCGAGGCGCGGCGCGGTGTGGCGTGGCGTGGCGTGGCGTGTGTGATGTGTGGTGGTACCGAGCTGTTAGCTGTGTCAAGCTGAAACAACCATGTCAGCACAATTGCTAATTACGACAATTTCGAATTAATTGTCATGTATTTTGATGGTAATAAAATTAGTGTGAGCTGGCATGACGCGACCCCAGCACACACATAATTTAAATCGGATCGTTTCTCGTCGGACCCTCAAATGATTTATTGCTAATTAACTGCTAATTTATTGCCATAGCAGTTTCAAATTAATTATCACGTAGTTTCGTGGCGAAAACGGGTGTGCGCTGACTTTGGGGTTTCCACGAAAATAAGTGGCAATAAATTCCACATTGTGGCAGTTAAGTAGCAATAAACCCTATGACATATTTCATTTGGGTGTGCTGATATGGCTGCTCCACCTTGGCATACCTCTGTTTAAGTTCGTATTGAGCCTTGCAAGCGTGACGTCGTGTGGTGGCGCAGGCTGCTGCAGCTGCGCGACGAGCAGATGGTTAGGACAGTATTGAATGTGGCTTCGAAGGGTGCCGCAGTTAGTGTGTACTGAGTGTGACGTGGTGTGTTGTGACGCGTGGTTGAGTCGCAGGGTGCTTCGCTAGTAGCTCTCAAGGTCCGTTCTGAGTGTGCCGTGTGGTCGTGGGGCAGGGTGCTGCACCTGTGCGAGTAGCTCTTTAGGTCCATTCTGAGTGTGTCGTGTGGTGATGGCGCAGGGAGCTGCAGCTGCGCGAGTAGCTCTCTAGGTCCGTTCTGAGCGTGCCGTGTCGTGGTGGCGCAGGGAGCTGCAGTTGCGCGAGTAGCTCTCTAGGCCCTTACTCGTGTGGTGGTGGCGCAGGGAGCTGCAGCTGCGCGAGTAGCTCTCTAGGTCCGTTCTGAGAGTGTCGTCTGGTGGTGGCGCAGGGTGCTGCACCTGCGCGAGTAGCTCTCTAGGTCCGTACTCGTGTGGAGGCGGCGCAGGGACCTGCAGCTGCGCGAGTAGCACTGAAGGTGTTGTGTGGCGGTGGCACAGGGTGCTGCGCGAGTAGCTCTGTAGGCCCGTACTGAAGGCGCCGTGTGGCGGTGGCGCAGGGTGCTGCAGCTGCGCGAGAACGGGCTGCTGGCGCACGCGTACCGGCGCGTGGTGTCGCCGGGGGCGCGCGCGGGGGCGGCGGCGATGGCGGCGGCTGCGCGCCCCGCCCGGGCTGCCTTCAGGAGCGCGACGGCGAGCGACGCGGCGCCTGCGGCGGCGGTGGCGGCGCTGGTGACCGGCGCCGCGGCGGCGCTACTCGCGCTGGCGGTGGAGCGCGTCGCTTGCGCCTACTCGCGACGCGTGCGCACACGCCCGTTTCCCTATCGCGAGTAGATAAGGCCTCATTCACAACGCCAACTTAAACACAATGCCGTTAACGTAGTAAAATGTACACTTAAAGACAAGTATTGAGAATGACGAACGTTAGCTCGAACGGGTTTCACCTGAGCCAATCAGATTTCAAGGTATTGAAGCTTGATCAATTATCGATTCGTTTATAGCATAGTGGAAATATCTTTTTACCATGGTTTTTAGCTTTTTCGTCAATTTCCCCATCGATTTGTCTTTATATATAAATGCAAATAGCTGTTGTATTCTCGCATTTCGTTTATTTTGGAAACAAGGATTCTCATGTACAAAGTTTACAAATGATTCGTTGAACGTAATTATTTTATTCGCCACGTTAAGTTCAAGTCACAAGAAAATGGCCTAAATTCTTACTTTGAATTCACTACTCGCGTCAAAACAGTTCGCAAACTAGTTCAGTACATAACAGTAATGAAATGACACAACCACAAACTTCCTTAACACAATCCGGGTTTGTTTCTTTCAAGATCTCTGATTGGTCCTCGGCGACCGACGTGTGCTTAGTGCTTGCGAACTCTTTAAGTTTACGACTTTACGTCCTCGGTTACATCAAGGCATTGTGAATGGTCTCGCTTAATAACTCATTTCTAGGTTTTGCGGCTAAGTTATGTTTACGTTTAAGTTTGCATTGTGAATGAAGCCTAACACTGTCACGCACGCACGCACGCACACACACACACTCACACACACATACAAAGTAGCCAAAACCACCCACCCACCAGATTTTTTTAATCGCTAAAAACAACCGTGATATTTACAATTTCACGTATTTGCAATTTAGCACGTATCAAGTCTTTGGGTCTGATAACTTTTTTTTACGAGGGCAGGGGAAAATATTCCAAAGACTCGAGGCCCGTACCCGCAGTATGTGGGATTCACAGCTAGTGTATGCCTCACTCACTAAAAATTCCTCCTTGAAACCGCCGTCAGGCATTGCATCACGGGATGGGCAGATCGGCTTGTCGCACTATGCCAACTGAATCACGGGATTCTCCTTCAGGATACTCACTTCGATGTTTCTTAATCGCTCATCTAACCAAATCTTGTTCATCATCTTCATCATCATCATCATATTCTTTTTCCTTTTCTTCTTCTTTTTGGCGTGCGCGTGTGTGTCTACGTTATGTAATCAAAGTGTAAGCACGCCAGAGGTCTGATTTCAAAAATGTTTGTCTTGGCGGGTTAACGAGGGGTGGGTTTTATAAAAAAAGAACGACCAAGATATTATTTACATAAAATTAGGTGATCTTGTCTTGTTGAATGGCGAGATCCTGCGCCGATCTATCGTCGGCTATCGGGGTGTTCCCTGGCCAGGTATCTTCCAGCAGTGGCGCACCGCCACAGCCACGACACGCTCCAAGCTCCCGACTGGCCTACCGGAATGTGTAGTAGTGTAGCGTAGGTGTGTGTGTTAGGGGTAAGGATAGGACAAGGAATGGGAGGGAAAAATCGAGCGCGGTCCATGGCCCATTTGTTAGGGTACAGCTCCGGCTTTTTCCTGGTACTGATCGGAGAAACCACGCAAAACTACCGATCAGAACAGCCGGCCGCTAGAATTTTCCTCTATACAGCGACAGAACTTGACCTAATAAGCTCGCTAGTGTCGAAAAATTCTGCCACCGTCGGGTCTGCCTGTCAGAGGCACTGCAGGGACATTAATTAATACCGTGTCACCTCTCCCAGTCTAGTACAGTTGTATATGCTTATATTCTTAGTCTGAATTTATTATCTATTTTGTTATGATAATGTACTGTTGCTTTTGTACTTATTATTACTGGCCTTTTTTACAATGTTTGGAACATTTACATCAGTAGTTACTTCCCAAAGTATTGTTACATTTCTTGTACGCACTGGTGTGCAAGTCTTGCTCTCACTTAACAATGTTGTCTAAACATGTGAAAATAAATTTGTTAGCTTTCTTGTTGCATGCCATCCTACAAAGCACTGTTTCAATTATTTCCATCAGATATACAAATATCCCTAGTCCCCAAATGTTACATATAATCAACCTTTCCAACTATAAATATTAATGTAAATATATCCCAAGCTTTGGGAGAAATTTGAAATCTTGCAATGTAAGGTTTAATGGGAAAGCAGCTCTTTTGTTTTAATCAATTATAACAAGTATTGTAGTGTAATTGTTTATTATTGCATTTTTTGTTTTTGTTGTGGGGTTTCAGTTTCTACATAGCCATACATTTAAACATCAGTTTAGAATTATCAATATATAAATAAATAACTTGTATTACTACTTAGCAAAAGTAGTTAAACAATGAAACAAACATATTTCAGTGAATGTCACCCAGATACTGTTTATGAAGTACAATATTTGTGATTCAATAACTTTTTTTTTCTATTAATTTTAACCCAAACAACAAATTACATGAAGAAAGGATCACTGGGACTTCTGGTAGCAACAGATATTTTTTTAGTGGTTGAGGGTAAGTAGAAATAGCTTAGGAGTATTTGCTATAAGTTTGTTGCCTTATTAATTAAAAGCTCCATATGTCCATGTTTCAAACAAATATTTATCATCCCTGAAAATTTAACAAATATATTTCTTCATTTAATCTCATTTCCAATTTGAGAATTTAACATTTTTTTCCCATTTAATCTCATTTTCAATTTATTTCAGACGTACAATGATTGCAATAATTTAGCAGCACAAAATTGAACCAATTTCTAAGCCTCATTTTGATTCTCTGAGTTCAAATTTGCAAGACATTTTTATGAATCACACAGTTTTTTTAAAACTATTTGGACTAAAAATCCCAATTTTATAGGAATGTTTCATATTGAACACGTTTCTTAATGCTTGAACCATCTAACTTTACTGTTTAGTATTGTTGGGCATGTGGGAAATCATTACGACTAATTTTGTCAATTCTTTTCTGTCTGACATCTTGTATATAAAAAGAATATAAACTTCTGAGTCAATTTTTTTCTCTCTTTCAAGTTTTTATGTTTCACATTAGTTCTACCACATATCATCAGAAATTACTAAAATAAAACAGAAATGAGATTCTATTTTATACACCTAAAAATATTTTTCATTGTTACTGAATCCAGTTGATGATGATGGCAATGATAAGTAGATCCCTAAGAATATTCACAGCAGTTGGTTGCCAGAATCTTTGTCAAAATGATCTATCTTTTGTTTTTCAACTCCTTCGTACACTTTGATCATCAGACTTGTGGCCTATTCATTACTAGTTTCTATCAATGTCAAATTACTAATAGTTTTAATACCTTCATACCATATTATTCTCCTTTATCCCTCTCCTAGTTCCAAAAATATTCTTCTTCAGCAATGAATCTGATCTTCTTGCAAAATTATCAAAAAATCCAGTTAGCTCTGTCTTTTCATGAAGAATATGCAGAGACTTAAAAAAAATCATCAAGCAGCAACATCAAATAATTGATCAATCAGAGATGAAACTTGTTCTGGTGTATATTTAATGTACTTCTTAGGATTTTTAGTAAAAGATAACGATGTATATCTGTTGAGAAAACCATCAAAACAAAAACATCATTTTCAGAAGAAAAAAAAATATAATACTTTTTTTTTTTTTAATCTGCATTAAAACAATATACTTTTAATAACTTTACTATATTATTCAAAGCAATGTACTTCCTTGATAATTCTAAAATTATAAATGCCATCTTACTTTTCATAAAATTCTTTGTATTTTGGAAGAAGTAAATTTTTGTTATCTTCTTTCATGTTATTTCTCAACTCTTCGTCTGCTATATAATAACCATGCTGAAGTTTTACAATCTCTTCCATATATTTGTTAAAACTCTGAAAAAAACAAACAAACAATAATTATAATATTGTTTAATTAATTATAATTATTGCTTAGTACATTAATATGAAATGCAATATTTATTGTAGACATACAGCAAATTTTTCTTTGATTACTGCCCTGTCCTTGTCTTTTAATTTAGAAACTCCAGCATTTGCCCCAGGGAGAACATCAAGGGGCCAAATATTTTCCAGAATTTTTTTCCAGCTGGAAATTGAACATAAACACTTATTGTAGTGCATTAATTTTGTAATAGAAGGATTACATTAATTGGCCTGTAAACACAACAAAATGTAAATATTTTAAATAATCGTTGAGACAAGTTTCCTTAAAATTTCATCTTGATCGTTGTCTTTTTCACATAATTAACTTAATAATAATCCAGCAGATGATATAAAAGGTTATTTGTACACATGTGCAAATTTAGTTCACCTAATGACCTGGGCAGCAGTGGCATAGAGTTCGAGCCTACAAGGCCTGCAATGAGGGCTAGCCAAGGTAAAAGAAGGCCCATTTTTAGAGGTAATTTTTATTATTTAAGTTACTAATACTACTTGTGTTACCTTTACACTTTTATAAAGGGGGCCCGAATATGTGTAGGCCTGCACTCATTTTGTTATGGTACTGCTGAGTAGCATTATATTTGTTGCCCTTTACAGCTTCTGATTTATTAAATGCAAATAGTTTAATTTTCTGTACAAGTTAAAATGTTAATAAAAACAAGTATTCATTAAATAACACAACTAATAAAATATACTAACTATGAAGTAGTTAAAATTCATGTCCATGAACAGATACAGTAAGTTAAAGGTATTCAATATAACTGATAAAAATAATAATTGCTGTGTTGCGAAAATCCATACAAATAAATTTAATTATTCTATTCACATAAGATTTAAATTTTATTATATTTGTCTCTTGCCTTGAATTGAGTTTATTATTCATTTAAATGGGTAAAAAATATAAAAGAGATTTAGTATGCAGCATATTCTACATTAACTACATACATTTGCATTACAATCATTATCGCTGATTTTATTTGAAAATCATTAAAGTGAAATTGCTTATCCTGAAAGTCACAAAAGGATTCCCAATATACAATAATAAACAACCTCACAGTCATAGTCATAGCATTATTATAGAGTTTAGATGTTTTGCAACTCTCACACACTTCCAATCCCAACAAATGAGGTACATATCAAAAGAAAGAGAATTTGAAGGAGAGATGATGAAATATATTTTCATTAATATTTGTTGCAAAAACCTAACAAAATTAGGCAGCAGAAATGCAATCCCATTCCACAAGTCCCACTGCTTCTTGACAATTCTCATGAATAACGAAAACAGTGTACTCTAGGACTCAAGATCCTCATGTTGTAATTTTCAAAATGAGATCTTTTTATATATTCCATTACATATTTAGTTGTTGAGCTAATCTACGTGCTCCTATTCTGCACTACAGGTGGAACAGCAGTTTCTTAAATTCTATTTAAACATATTTCACTAACATATCTTTCCCCATATGAATGAAATGGGAAGGAAGGGTGTTCCACATGCATGAGTTCTTGAATATGTCACTTAAATAACAGTGGGCAACTTAATTAGTTTCACAGGTACCTTTTGAATGTTAAATGTAATTTTTTTACATTTACAACATATTGGTTTAAATTTCGAACATAGTAACCACTTACCACAGAATCCATTTGGATTCCATTAAAATTTCAGGAAAATTATCTCTCTTATTAAATATTCATCCTTTTAAAAATTATTTCTATTTGAATAAAATAAGTTGCAATTTTGGAATAGAAACAAGCAAAGAATGCTACACACCCTATACTTTGAATTTCAATGAAGATGGGAAAAATTAATCATAATTAATGAGTTTATGTATTAATTAGAAGAGTACACATGGTGCACTATACTAAATATAAATATATTTTATCATTTATTCCATTTTTTGAATATTTTATTTTAATATATTTATTTTTTTAAGTAAACTGATTTGTTAAAACAAACAAAAAACTACATTTATCAAATAAGATAACAACAAACAAGAGCTATTATGCATTGCTTAAAATTAAAAGAATTATTTAGAGTAAAACAATCAAAATTTCTTATAATAAATAGGAAGTACTAATTAATCATTTTATGATACAGAAGCATTGAGGGAAAAAACGATGAGCTCATCTTTAAAATTGAAACCACTCCAACTAAATTCATTATTTCAGAAAATTATTTATGATTATATAAAATGGAAATAAAACTATAAAATTACATTCATAAATGAATTTGTTTAATTATAAAAATATTGTAAGTAGAAATATTTGTCCATCAAAAAGTGTCATTCTGGGCAATTTCATGTTCAGCCCATACATAAATTCACTCCAGTACACATAGAATAATGGCAATGTAATAGTCTGTACCCTAATTATTCCATAATTCATTTTGGACAACCAGGATGAAAAGGGTTACAGTATGGAGCCATTGCTTAAAAAGAAATTGATGAAGCGGAATTACTACTTCTCTAACTACTCCTTAATGAATCACAGGTTCACAGGAATTAAATTCCTGTAGGAAAAATTACATAGTCTAAGAAATATTTACTTAATCAGTGCTTATCGTCAGCATGTATCTGTTTATATAAGCCTTTTAAACAGAATATAAATATTATTTTTTCCTAAGTGTCTACTGAATACCCAACTATCATCACCTTTGTGTGTATGTTTCCTTGTCATCATTGATCATCTTGAGATAATAAGTTTCAAAATCAGGTCTGGATAACAGCACAAAATCGAGTAAACCTGATTGTTTTATACTTTTCAGAATTTGATGAGTATTGTTGAGTCGAAAGATTGTTTGAAGATAAATGTCACTATACAATTTACTTTTGTTGCACAATGTTTGGTGCAACTCATTCAGTACTTTTTCTGCAAGTATAAATAATACAATTTTCAATTTATAACAATAAAATAATTCTAAATTTGATTATAATTTTACTTACGTATGTACATTCCCAAAATGATTTTGTTTTTATCTCTCTCTCCATAGCCAGCAACTAGCTGTGATATTAGAGCTATTGTTAGAGCATTGTTGTACTCAAATTTCTGGGCCAGAATCCCTCCAATCATATCAGCAAAATCAAACAATTGTTCTAAGAAAACAAGTGTATTACTTGTGAGTTCATGAACAGTTCCATCCTGTGGTAATCGAGTATTTGAATCAGAGTGTATGCTTTCAACAAAGTCATCCAAAGCTTTTGCTGCCTGGAAAACAACATAAAATTCAAAATAAGTAAAAATTAATACTTGACAGAGTTTTTTCAATTAAATAGATTGTTAAATCAATAAGAGATTATCTCAATTTTGGATTCTTAACTACAATGTAGTACATCAGTGAATTTTGAAGTAAAGTGGTTTAGTTGCAATAACTAAATGCTTTGCTTTGTAAATTTATTAAGCTTTGTAAACTTAGAGTTAGCAAATCCTCTCAATAAGTCTACGTATAATTCAATTCATCCAATGAGCTTTCTTAATGATTGATTATCTTAAGCATGAATCATAATGTCAACATGAGGTTATTTTGCACCTTAAGCATTGTACAATATTTGCACTCCTGACCTGGCTAACATTGGTTATTAAGAATAATATTTTTAGAGAAAATTTATCACTTGATATAAAGTATATTTACTTGAAGTTATATAATAATGTGCATGAATATATTAGGGAAAATCTGATTACAAATACTTAATATTCGGTATTTAAACATTTTGCAAATTTTGTTTCATGCATGTTGAGTGTGCTCATCGTTTAATAGTTATTTTATGATGAAATAATTTTCTATACAAAATTATTTTTAACTAAAACTGTAAGTATAACTAGCATGTTGACTGAACATTTTAGCTCGGAACATTCCACTGATTTTGTGAAAACTAGTTGTAAAGCTAGGAACATCTTGAAGAATGAAGTATTTCAGATCTACTGCTAAACCAGAACTGAAAGCCTCCTTTGCTTTTGATCTTGCAGTTTTATTTATTTATTTACATCAAAAACAGTTAAAAACTGTGTGTGACATGTGATGGGGAGAAGTTAAAATGAAGTTACAGTTATGTCCAGAAGCAAAACAAGGGGCCATTTCAGCATTTGCTCGAGGATCAGGGAAACTGGACTAAAACCTGATTGAGGTGGGGTCATTGACCTAGAAGCTGAAGTACAATGCTTGTTACAGGTTCTTTAAAATTATACAATCCAAATGATATACAATACATTAAATGTCATTGTTAAAATTAATATTATATTCCTTTTGGATGCTTGGTATAGTTTGTATTTGTATAGAAACAGTTGTGTAGCAGAAAAGATTTTACTTGGGGCTTAAACTTTTGCATTGAATTTAATCGTTTAATGTCATCTGGCAAGGTGTTGAAAAATAATGTATATGCATTATATGTGAATTTTTGTACTAAGCTGTTGATACTGTCACCTGGAGAATATTATTACTATGTCGCGTGTTGTAGTTATAGACAAAGGCGTTTGCTGAAAATATATTTCCTGCCCTTAAGTAAGTCATTTTTGACAAAAATCATGGATTCATATATGAAGAGACAAAGTAATGGTAAAATACCTCTATTAATAAAGAGAGGTTTACAAGAATCACGTGGGTGGGATTTGCCTATTATTCATACAATTCTTTTTTGTAATCTAAAAGTCTGGGAACTATGTATAAGATGTATTTTCCCAGAATATTATGCCATATCTCAGGTGGGAATGAACATTCGGTTCATGATGAGGATGTTTTAAAGCCAAAAAGGAAATAATTTTGATAAAATATTATACATTGACCACCCAGAGGGTAAAATTACCACTTCTAGGTCACCTAATTTAGCTGTAGGTTGCAACACAGAACACTAAAACAAGGCAGCACCAGACTTGATAAAGCAGCTGGCCTCGTAAGTTTGACTTCTTGATGTTAGGGTGGTCATAGATGAAACATTTAATATGGTATTGGTGAGTTCGTGAAGACAAGAAAGTAAATTAATAAATGCATTTCCAAAAATTAAGAGCATCAAAAATAAAAGTAATTCGTCTCTTCAAGAAAAAGCTCTCATATTTTGAAGGAATTCCTATCATATTATCCATGCTAACAAAACATTTTATTCATCTTCATGAATATGGAAAGCTTTTAATATACAACTTTGTAAGAATACAAATTGACCTCACTATTATTATTCAGCTTCTAAGAAAAAATACTATTTTCTTGGAAACTTCCTTTCAATGGAAATGAACATCTACAAAATTAATGTTAATGAATGTGATGCTTACAATGCTGTGTAATATATCATAAGTAGCTGAGAATTTTGATATGACATCCTCACTGCATTCTTTCACGGTTTCCTTGTATTCAGGAAGCATCAATTGAAGTTGTTTAAGAATAGGAAACACTATTAGCAAAGTAGAAAATTCATGATGACTAATGCACTTTTTAGCTCTTGTGGCAATACTCTGTAAAAAAAGAAGTACATTGTTATAACATATAAATAATTTAGAGAAAATGAATGATGTACAAAAATTAAAAAGAAATATGGATTATTTTTTTTTTATTTTTTGCCTATCTCAATAGAATCAGTTGGGTTTGTGAGCAGAAACTGCCAGAGTACATTCTGGCATTTGCCCCAATCGTTATGTATGTCAGGTACTGTAATTATGATCCCAATTATTAAAAAACAAGATCAAAATAACTGGATAATTTAATATGTTTCTCTGATATAAAGCAACAAAACATTAATAAATTACAAATACACTCCTCTTCTTTCATATCCCTCACTCCTCCTTAGGATCAGGATGGATCTCCTTAGGATAAGGGCAGCCCTAGGATCAGGGGCCAACTTATGCACTGCAGGTCTCCAGGAGTAAGGGGCCCTTCATAACTCAATGAATGGATTTCGTCAAAGAATAAAAGAAAGTGCTCTCCATGCTTATTTTCTCTGCTCTCTCCTTATATTTATACCAATTAAATTTAAAAGTTAATTTCACGTTTATTGCAGATAAAGTCCTCATTTCCATTTGCTGCATCGGGGCATTCAAAAACTGGCTGTGCAACAAGATGTTTAGAAAACGCAACGAATTGTAAATATACACATACAAATATTGAAAATGATATTATAATAGTGGAAGAAAATACTCCTTTCAGTGTATACTGGAGAAAGGTTAATGCCAGGTAAAAACACTCAATGTATTGTAACTATTGCACTACAATGAAGATTAGCAACTAGGCTATTCAGAATCAGTTAATAGACTTCAAATATATTAAATCTAGATAATTACCTTAATATTAGTACGTGAAAGTATTTCCAGCATCATTACGTAAATTCATTTACTACACTCTGTGTAGTCATGAAGATTAAGCGAATTCAAGATTCATGGGTTCCTGGTTGGGTAACCGACTGTGAACCCCGGGATCTAATGGCATTGAGCCCCTGGCTGAAGGGATAAAAGGCACTGACTGACTGCGACATGATGAGACTTGACTAAGATAGTAATTACTTCCCATTTGTAATAAAGGATAGCACAATAAGGGTTAAAGAGATGTGTTGCAACAACAATAACGCAACAATTTTTTAAAAAATTAAAATTAATAATAATAATAATAATAATAATAATAATAATAATAATAATAATAATAAATAAAGATATTGAAACAAAAACTTAAACAAATACAAAAACAATATAACAAATCATTAAATAAATGCTTCTGTAATGTAACCCTTTATAACTTTTCATCTCTTAAACACATTAATTCAATAAAAAGGTATTCAGAAGGACCTCACTAGTGATTAATGCTCTTATGTCCAATGACAACAGTAAGTCTTACATTATTGTTTTTCTAGTAAGTGTATTATGATTTTTACAATTTCAGTTACATATTTAAGGATTCCTATCATGATTCTTATTTAATTTCTGTCAAAGAACCCGTATTTCAATACTTGTGAATTTTTTTTATAAATAAGTTTTACTTTCCTGTCTCGCTTACTTGTCTTTTGTTTGCTTAAATGTTTAAGAAAAATAAATGGCTTACAAAGATAAAAATATTCTCTTTTAATTATTGTACTTAGATATAACTGATGATGGATCACTTTTATTTTCTGCAAAAGAGAATGAATGAAAATATTAAAATACCAACCAATATTATTCTTACCTCTCCATCCTGAACAACCAAATTGAGTGCATTTTCAACAAGGCTCTCAAAGGCATTTGATTGAGCATTTACTGGAATAATGCCAGACATCTGTAGTTTCTCATTTTGCATCATTTTTTGTAGTGCAGTGAAGCACATAAGATAATTCACCATTTCCTGCTCATCTACAACATCCTCTACAATTGCCATAAAACAGAGCATCAATGTGAGACTTCAGATATGTTCCTTAAGGTGGAATATTATATATTAATCATAAACAGGTGCATCATCAATGAGCTAATCTATATTCATTTTTGAGCTTATAGATTAGCATTTCAATTGCTATTAATCTCCTACCCAGATTAGAAATTAGTTTTTGCCTCTGTTGCTATCTGACTGTTTAAATTTTTATCCTGTTATGTTGCAGAATCCAATTTATTGATATTTAGAGTACTATTTGGCAATTTGTTTTTATTTATTCTCCTGATAATTTTTTTTGTCATTGTAAATGGGGATGTTATTTCTAATGTCTACTGTTGTTTCACTGCCTCTCATTGCATTAGAACTATTTCAAGGGTTGTTGTTTTTCATCCTGACATAGGTCTCAATCAAAAATTTGAAGAATGGGTTAAAACTATTCATTTAACCAGAATTATCGAGCTTAAATTTTGATTTCAATGAACCAGAAAGCAAACCTATTTATTTTAAATTGAAAGGTAAATATTTAACTACATTATTACACAATAATACTTTTAAGAACTATGGAAATGTAGGTAAAGAAAAATAATCAAAATTGCTACAACTGAGTTGAGATTTAAGAGGCTTGATTACTAGGGTATGAGCACACACTAATGTCGCAACATTTATTTACAAATTATTTTGCATCATGTGAACAGTGGGCCTGTAAATAGACTTAAATAAAAGCATATTTATAAGTCCAATCTGTCTTAATGTCTAAATTGGACAAAATGTATTATTTAGTTTTCATAGATAAAAATACAACATACAATATTCTAACCACATTCTGATATAATACAGTTAATAAAATGACACGTGATGTAAAAAACATCATCAGTTATACAAAAGATTCTGATATTTCTGACTCTAAAATGTTTATCAATAACATTAACAGTACATTAAAGGAACACAAATATGTTGAGAAAGTTGAATGAAAGAAATATTATTTTATGAAATGTTCAAGGTAAGTTCTGTCTGATATTTGCCTAATTCATCTTTCACAAACTGAATTGTGTAGCTTTTTTTGTTAAAATAAATGAATAAATACACAGAATGATGGAATATATGTAAAGTAAGATTTAATAAATTATAAATATAATTAACGTTTCAAAAGAAGTAAAAGATGCAGAAATTTCTGTACCTGCAAGGGTGCCAGATCTTCGATTGCTAGAGGTAAAATACAAATGCTCAGTGCTTGAAGAAGATCTCAACAACATTTTCTTTGTTTTTTTCTCAAACCTACAAAAAAAATTTAAGCTTTATAGGAAATCCACATTGTTGTTGAAATCCAGTTTGGAGACTTATTGAAAGGATTATAAAGCTTACAAATAATGTATCAGTTTTGAACTTCCTGAACTAGAGGATTCATGTCTGAATTTCATTCTCTGAAAAAAACAACAACAAAAGAGCAAATAATTAAATACCTTCAATTTATATTAGAATTTTAAAATATCACAAACATTTGCAGTTTTAACATCATTCTTTAAGAAAATTGTAAAATTGCTCTGACATTTTTGTGATCATTTTACTTTTTTTGATATGCTTTCTTATGAGGAAGGTTTAAAGTAAAACCTGGCTTTGGAGAAGAATGTTCAAAGCATACTAGGCTGCTTAGGAATGGAAAACAAATTTCTTCAACCACTTTTCTTAGACCTAAAACGTGCAGCGAGTGAAGTTACATTTATTGTCCAGAAGCAAAACAATGAGCAATCTCAGTATTGCTCAAAGTACCAGGGAAACTGGCCAAAAAATCTACTAAATATGTACTTACTAAAACAGGACTATGAACTGAAACATTGCTGTGCACACTGCTTCCACTTGATGATTGGTAATGTTCTTTTAAATGCTGAATTGATTTGAACAAAATATTTCCACGAATGGAAACATACACTTCAACATACTCATCACTGGAATTTTCCTTAAGCCACGCTGCAATATTTTGTAATTCTATGTAAATATGCTCTGGTATCTGGCTGAGGGATATTGATTCAGATTTTCTTTCTGTTTCTGTAAATCAGAACAGAAGCATTTTCCTGTTCAAACGTATTCCTGCAAAAATACCCTGTGTAATTCTTACCTATTCTAGTAGAAGATGATGTATAATTATAGGAATAACATGTAAGGAAAACGAACACACACAAACATCCACTGCTGAGGCGAGATTCAAACCCGCGAATCTTTGAGCCAAGGCAGCTATGGCCCTTCAGCCTTAGTGATCTCAACTATCCAAGTTGTCATTATTTTTTATCCTACAATAAATTCAAGTATTCCAAGCCATTATATTATAAATTGAGATCAAAATACTTGAACTGTAAAATTATTATAATTTTAGCTCATGTTACATCGTATAAAATATTAAAATAAATATTTGCTATATTGTTACAGGATATACTAGCCAGTACCCATCTGATTTCCTTACCATACACTGTTAAAGAATTTTACATTGAAAAGTACAGGAAAAGATATTACTATAAATTAACAATATTCACAAACCTTCAGTGGGGCTGACAATATCAAGTAATGTCAGGAGAGGAACAGGTTCACTATAGTGATTTAATAGTTCCTTAAATTCTTTATTCAGGGCATCAGCACCCAAATTATATAATGATTTCTACAAAGTAAAAATATTTAATACTTATGTTAGTTTTTCAGATTATTTGTAAATTGAAGCCAGTTTTATTTGTCATACCGCTTTACAATATTCTGCACTATCAGCATTATGAGTTCGAAAATATTCCATTGCAGACTGAAGTTTTTCCATTGCTTGTAGAAAATTTTGCAAACGTGACTCCCCATTTATATTAATACTTGGCCCAGCTCGAATAATAGGTTCCATTTGTTTACTTGTGTCATAAAATACAATTACATGATCTAAAACCTTTAAAGTGTGCTTGAGATCTGACATAAATTAAGGAGGGAAAATGCATTAAACATAGATGTAATTATTCAAATACCTAATTTGGCTTTCAATAAGGATACTTCTGTACTGATTTTGAAGGCTTCCTGTTTGTTTATAAATTGGAACAATTGTTTCTTCTAAATGAGCTAAACGATTATCACTAGAAGACAAAATCTTCTTCATTCCTTTAGTTAAATGATTGCATCTGGTTACTTTTTCTTTAAGTATCTTAAGATTTTTCATCTCCTAGAAGTGACAAAATAAAAACAAGTTTCTCAAAATAAGAAAGAATATAATGCATATAAATTGGTAAATAATATCACTTTCGGGTATAACAATCACCAAAATTAATTTTTTTGACAAAATCAAAGAAATTTTAAATGCGTATAAATGCGAAAATTTTCTAGCTCACCCTTTCAAGTTTATTTTCGATATCTATTCTTTTCTCACTCGGATCATACATCATTAGCACTTTGTGTAGTATCTTAAACAGGATTTTTGTTACAGTCACTTATAGGTAAAGTAAAACTGGTGTTACGCTAAATGGAAGAAACACAATGATTTCCTGCCCCGCCTCCCTTGCGGTCTTATCACTTGTTAACGTGTTTGCGGTTGAGTCCGGAATACTGCTTTACGAGGCAAGGGCACGGGATCGCTTTCGCACCACGTTCATGTACGCGAGTAGATTGCAGGTCGGAAGCAAACATTCCACAAAATTTAGAGCTCCATTTATATTTAGGACCTCCACAAATATCCAACTCCAGTTTAAAATCTCCAGCGGATCTCACCTCAAGGGCAGGGTCTCCTGAGCGCCATCTGCGAGCCGGTGTTGAATTCAGGGGATGGCACGGGGAGGGGAGAATCATATTGCAACAATAAGTACGTTGTATTTTATATACATTTTAATACGGACTGTAAACAACAATTTTTGAATTCATTTGCATAAAATGTAGTTTATTTTAAACTGAATAATGGCCGAGACACATGAGTTATCTCTGTAACGATTGTATTGATTCCATTTTTTTGCAGATATAATAAATATTGTAATAATAATAATAATAATAATAATAATAATAATAATAATAATAATAATAATAATAACAATAATAATAATAACAACAACTATCCCAAGCATACCGAGGGACAGCACAATTGTAACTGACAGGACAGCCATCTAACTGACAGAACGGCCAAAACAAACAGACCAGACATGTTTTATTAGATAAAATAGCATGAACCGCTACGATTATTGTTGTAAGCAGTTCCTATGTACGTAGTTTAACAATTTCTACAAATGATAACCTAGCGTTAACTTATTCTAAAAAAAACAACAAAAAACAAAAAACAAGCCGCTAACTGTTGAGTTGAAGAATATGTACAGATTACAAAGAGTGGAGATAGTACCAGTGATGGTATCAGCAAACGATGCAGTCACGAAGATTGGCAAAAGGCTGGAAAAAGTCTGCATTTACGAGAAAATCACCTTCGAATAACGCAGCAACGCAGGCGGCCATTTTATTGGGTGCGGCGAGCATCGTCAGAAAGTTTTTGAGTCGTGAGTGGGGTATTAATAGGTAATAGAATGAAGAGCCAAGGGAGTTAAGACATCACCATAACCATCATTACTGGAGAACTACTCAAGTGTTGTTTAGAACAGTATGAGGAACTTTTCACTGTAGTTCAATATATTTGTATAGACAAGTTGTATCTTGGGCACGAATTCTCCGACATTGCGTGTGAAGAAAAGAAATAATAAAGAAGTATAGTTGCCGACACATAAAAACATTAAAAAGCATTGGCAATAAACAGTTTTAATACTAATCAACAAAGCATATGAAACTAGACAAAAAATCAGTGGTAATCGGGAGAAGTCTACGACCAATTGCCTAAACAAGGTAGAATAAAATATGATTTACTTACTAAGAAAGACCTGAAACACAAAATGGGAAACCCAATTGGGTAGAAATAACTGTTTTCTATCCTCTTCCGTCTAGAGTACAGAAATCTGCAATAAAAATTAAAATATAACCAATGAAATACATTAAATGCTTGAGGGATGCACAAGAATTTAAAAAAATCAAACTGGAGTCAATTTTTATCATACCAATCAATGAAAAGTATTAAAAAATCAAACAAATTTCATAGCCCACATCTAGAATTAGTAAGTATAAAAATATAATACTACCTAATTAGCACATACAGGACACACAAAAATAATTATTCTCAGAAATTCATGGATGGAATAGATACTATTCGGACATTAAAAATCAATTGCCATAGAAGAAAAGAAAAACAGAAAAGAAAAAATAACAACAGAAAAGAGGTATCGTGTAGGTCGTTTAAGCCTGGCACGAAGTCGGTGATCCAAAACATCCCAACGGTAGGATTCAATAGGATTCAAGTCAGAATCTGTGCAGGCCAGTCTATTACAGGCATGTTGCTGTCGGGTAACCACTCCGTCCCAGGCCGTGCAGTATGAACAGCTGCTCGATCGTGTTGAAAGCTGGAATCGCCGTCCCCGAATTGCTCTTCAATAGTGAGAGGCAAGAAAGTGTTTAAAACATCAACGTAGGCCTGTGCCGTGATAGTGCCATACCAAACAACGAGGGGGGCAAGCCCCCTCCATGAAAAACACGACCATACCATAACACCATTTTGGGCTTGTCCAGATACGTTTGATCACATAGTGTATGAAAGTAGAAACTTTTTTACTGGCAATCAGATAGCTCCTGCAACCTACGACTGCATTCGAAAGAACATGGGCAATAATTATGATTCACTTGACAACATTGACCTGAAAATAGAAAAAATAAAGTTTAACAGAAATTTCGTCTTCTATAACATATGGTCTAAGGTCAAGAACCCTCATCTGAATGTAGTCCAGAGGCTTATTCCATCTACAATAAAGTATCATCATCCGCCCTCATCCTCATCATAGAAACATTCATCCGTAAAGCGTATAAAGTTCTCAATTGTAAATGATAGAAAGTCATCAGCCTAAAGAATCAAGTATCAGCCGCCAAAGGAAAACACACCTAACTCCTCTAGAGTAGGAAATTACATTAGATATATAATAGAAATTTATCACTTATCTAAAATAAAAAAGTCACTATCCATGAACAGTAAAATGAATGTCGTTCCCGACATAAATATCCCGTAGTAAACCCATCTTTATTCCCCCAGAGTTTTTAGTAATCGTTTATAATTCACCTCCCCCGTCACTAATGATTAGACTCGTAATTCCCCCTCAGACAACCTCATTCCTTTCTTTTACTCCTTGTCCAAAGGATCACTTATTCTTCATTCAAAGAAATCTGTCGACAACAGTTCCTCTTCCTTCCCCCAATTCCCTACAAATTTTCCATCGCATCCTCATCTTCATGAGTGTCAGTTGAAGTCTCGAGTGTACTATGTTTTTGTTTTATGACCAGGCCTCACTTCTCCCTAAATTTGTGTCCCTGTCCTCTTCTCGTTAATCACTTCTGTCCTCTACAGTTTTGAGTCTTCTTTTCTTTACAGTCTTGAGTATCCTGTCCTATACGACCTTGAGTCTTCTAATCTCTATGGGCTGGATTCTTCTGCCAAATACTGCATTGAGTCTTTTGCCCTCTCCTGTTTTGAATCACTTATACTCCTCTGTCTTGAGTCTTTCGTATTCTTCTGTCTTATGTCTCAAGTTCTCTTTAGTCTTATGTCTTCAGTGCTCTTCAGGCTTATGTCTTCTGCCCTCTTCTGTGTTACTTTTTCTGTCCTCTTCTGTGCTTCGTCTTCTGCCCGCTTCTATGTTGCATCTTCTGTCCTCTTCCGTCTCGCGTCTTCTGTCCTCTTCTATCTTGCGTCGTCTGACCTCTTCTGTCTTGAGCACATGTCCTTATCGGTCTTGCGCCTTCTGTCCTCTACTGTCTTGCTATTTTGTCCTCTCTGTCCTGTGTCTTCTCTGTCTTGGGTCTTCTGTCCTCTTCTGGCTTGTCACTTCCGTTCTCTTCTGGCTTGCATCTTCAGTTCTTTTCCGTCTTGCGATTTCTGTCCTATTCTGTCTTGTGTTTTGTATCCTCTTCGGTGTTGGGTTTTCTGACCTCTTCTATCTTGCGCCATCTGTCCTCTTCTGCTTTGCTTCTTCTGTCCTCTTCTGTCTTGCATCTTCTGTCCTCTTTTGTCTTGCAACTTCTGTGCGGATTTTTGCGAATTTGCCATTTTCCTTACCCTTTCATTTCCCTTGAATGGAAAACGTAATTTTTTGGTAACTTATTAATTTTAGGTTTTAGGAGTAACATACGCGAATTTTGTGGAGTCTATCAATGCCCATTTCACTAATAAATACCTATTTTGTATTTAAATACTTTAATGTGGCCTAGGCAACATTTATTGATCGAAATGCATTTATTCTTAATCTTTTTTAATTGTACGTTTATTTTTGTTTTTATCTTGCTGAATAAGAGAAATCGAACAAATGTCGATAAAAGTATGTTCCGTTTCTGCCACCACAGTGCGAATATTTCCTCATAAAAATATTTACAAAAGTATTAAAACTAAAGTACACATAAAATATAGCACACAGCGTAAGCTTTAGAAATTTCACATATATTGAGAGACCAACATTCTTTCTGCTTGCATCGGCCACACTCCAATACGTCGAAGTCACCGCTTGTCAAGCCGAAGTCAAGCGGAGTAAGTAATAGATATGACTTGTAACGTGCCTCTGAAGAACAGTCGAGAACATTTTCCAAACGCACCACTGGGCAAAAATACAGCGAGAATCAGGATTCCCATTCGTAAATAAAAGGCTAAGGAGAGATCGCGCCGTTATTTTTCGATAAATTTAAGACGTTTCTACATTTTTTCTTGGGCTTCTTACTTCTATATTTCCTGCACTTTTACCATTTTAATTTTTTCTTTAGACCTTTGAGGGGCATGCCCCCCTCGATCTATCCACCACTGCGATTACATCAGTAACACATCAGCTTCAGTTAAACATCTGAAATTGTTTTGATAAAAAAATCTGCGTTACTTATTTTGATTTTAAGGCATTTTAAAAATATTTTAAGAATATGGTTCGGTCGTGGATTCGAACCTGCAGTAGACAATGAAGGACCTAAAAATAAATAGTTATCCGGTGTCCTGAGATTAATATAAGTCAGTGCCATAAATATAGGATTTCTAGGAAACATTTTTCACGGGATGATAGGTTAGTACGGTTAACGAGAGTTTCAAATTCGTATAATCGCAGAAGTGACAATAATCTCGTTGAAGAAATTATTTTCACGAATTATTTTCACATTGTGTTGTAATTTACTTGAACACCTTTTTCAGAATACATATGATCAACGTTAGAGCCATTGCAAGCGTACTAACAAGATTTAAAGCACTTTTATTAAAACAAAGTATGCTACTTTTACAAATTGTTCCGTGTTTATTTGTTTTAAATCCCATTGTTTTATAACCCTCCAATCCAAAAATAATTAAATATTTTAACACAATGTTGCTCAACATTGTATAAAAAATAAATTGAATGAACTATTTAATTATTGTAGAAAACAGTTAAAATGCAAACAAACTCTAAAAGTCAAAGTAACCAATGAATCCATTATAAAAGCATTGGCACTAAGGAAAGAGAAAAATTTTCGTCGATTTTCTGGAAGTCCAAAAAACGTCGCCTCCGAGGATAATACTAAAATGCCCTTCAATACGAATATTTACCTTTCAGATGTCGAGACAATCTTCTTACATTTCTAATTTGCAATGTGAGTATAGGGTAAGGTCATGTACGTATTATAAACTCGAAGGCAATGACGGGCCCTCAGAAAAGGCCGAAACTCATCACCTTCACTTTCTGCACGCTGACAGCCCGACTATATGCACACTATTCTGAAGTGAACTGAACTGATGCCATTTTACGTGGCGAGACTCAAGCCATGGGGCCTGCTCTTCCGTTTGACCTCGGAAACTTTGCTACGCTCCTTTCACCATCTAGCGGAGGTAATTCTTGGAAGACGAAAAGGTGATTTGAATTTAGCTCAGAGGCTTCACTTAGGCTTGTGGATCTTTTACATGCAGTACTCTACTAATATGGGACAGCCGGCTTTACTTCCCCTCCGAGGGATTTTTTTCGCCCTTAGAAATCGACGGTTTCGATCGGGTTTGAACTCGCGAACTCGGATAATAACAGTCCGATACGTCATACGCCGATAACCGTTACACCACCGCCGCCGCATATTTTGTGAGCGACGCAGCCAAACGCGGTACCGGCTGAGTTATCTCGAAGCCAGCATTGCCGCTGTCTCTGCAGCGGTTCTAGGATTCGAGTCCCGACAGGGGCGGATTTTCGATACTATATCGTGGTCGGATTCAATCACTGTCTGAAGCGGAATTCTGGCAGCTGGTTGCTCTGATTGGTTACTGCTCCGATCAATACCAGGTGAATGCCGGAGCAGTACCCTAACAACATATCACAGTCGCACGCGATATTTCCTTTACCGTCTCTCCTTACATACACTACACAACCATACATGTCGGGAGCTTGTTCCAGTTAGGGCGGTGCCCCGAGATAACTGAAGAGGAAGAAACTCCGCAAAGTGACGTGTACGTCAGCACCGGATCTCACCATCCAGCGTGGAAGGAACGCAGCTGCATCACGTAAAACATGGATAGAATCACTGACTACACAAACGGGACTAATGAGCAGACCAGCTGTATGTCCAACGAACATTGATTGTGATTCCAGGCGAGTCAACTGCTAAGGTAATTAGTCCCGTATGTGTAGTGCATGTTTTCCCTCGTGAGGTGGCGGTGATCTTCCCTCGTTGGATGGCGAGAGCCTGGAGCCGACCTAGCTTGGCTAGGTGTTTTCCTCAACCAGGTATCTCCTACCGCCCTAGCCGAGACAAGCTCTAACCTCCCGACCGGTATTCCGGCATGTGTGGCAGTGTAGTGCATGTTAGTGTGTAAGGGACGAGGATATGACAAGGAAAAGGAAGGTAAGAACGCGCGCGGTCCGTAGCCTGTTTGTTACGTACTGCTCCGGCATTCGCCTGGTGTTGATCGGAGAAACCACGAAAAACTACCGATCAGAGCAGCCGGCAGCTATAATTCTCCTCCAGACGCCGACCGTATCGTATCTAGCTGACAAGCTAACGTCGAAAATCCTGCCACCGTCGGGACTCGAACCTAGGAGGCACTGCAGTGAAATCAGTTGATTCCCTGAGCCACCTCTCCCGGTCCAATGCTCGTAAATGAACTCCCGCCTCAACAGAGCTACTGAGTAGGGGAAACAGAAAAAATGCAAAAGCAATAAATGATTACTCAAGATGTGTGAATCAATGCAAGAAGAAACTAGAATGATAACGCGGGTTAATGCTATAAAATGCTTTTACCGAATGTAGCTTGGACCATGTTAATGTACAAAAAATACTTATAAAGAGCCAGTCTGTTAATGTTATAAAATAAATAATGTATTAAAGTAGAATGTATTAATCACAGCCTACCCGAATGCACCATCTGTCATGTCAGTATAAGGCAATTGGCTCCACAGAGACCCAGAGTGGAGACTAAAAATTTACATTTTTGTACGTCTTATTTAAAATTTTTCTCACAGAGGCACAAATGCAGTTTCAGCATGCATAAGCACAGGCCGTCTTGAAATAACTGAAGGAAAAGGGGGGGAAAAAATAAAAATAAAAAGCAAAGAGAAAATCAGTGTAAACAGAAGCAACTGGTTGGAATTTGTTTTGAAAATAAAAAGTAAAACTGGCATGAATTTGACAAGAAGCCAATTTGACCACATGCCTTCTTGAATGAGAACAATTATCAATGCATTCATACAAGCTGGGTTGTGTTTGTAGAAAATGACACTTTAATCTCTTTTATTTTGCGTGTGTGTGATGACTCTCCTTGGCCAATAACTACTATCTCCATTTTGGTTTTTAAGTTAAAACTAAATAAATAGACCAGATACCATATCCTATCCAGACAGTAAAGTAATTTCATCTCTTCCAATATCACTTATAGATTAACAGCTAATTTGTCAATTATGAGCCTCTCAGCAGCATTGCATGCAAAATGAGGTCCTATTGTTACAAACCAACATACGAAATTCCCTTCAGCAACCAGTTAAAAAAATAAAAACACACAAATCTGAAAACTTTCCCCTGCAGGAAGTTTCCCAACCTGTCCAAATTTAGTATGTGCATATACTCTGATAAATGTGAGGTATAACTTAAACCACCTAATGTGAACCATTTTTAAAGTTAATACATAGGTTGAATAAAATGTAATGAGACATGTAACTTACAGCCAGTGAGCCATGTGCTGCCATTTGTCATGGCAAAAGGAAGGACTATTAGACGAGTATGTGCAGCAAACGGGAAAAGTACTCTGTCAGGGTGTAAATCATTGAATTTCATAGCAATTGTGCAAGCACCCTTCATCATGTTTACAAAAGTACAGCAACATACGCGACTCAAAATTGAAGTGGCACAAGATCGGAGTAAGCAAAAATGTGTTCAGAGACTGTGTGAAGCATGTGGTGATGCTGCTTTGCCATTCTCCACAGTAACCCGATGGGCTTGTGTTCAGATTAAGCTGAGATGATGTGAAGAATAACCCCGTTCACGACAACCTCACGTGGAGAACTCTTGCACCACTGGCAATGGGATATTCTGGAACATCCACCTTACTTGCCCGATATGAGTCCCTGTGATTATGATCTCTTCAGTTACATTAAAGAACCACAGAGAAATAAAACGATACAATACCAGAGAAGAAATTATTCATGCTCTAGGGCAGTCCATATGGGACATCAACAGAAATTGACATGCATGTGGTATACAACGCATTCCTCACATTCAGCAAAACCAATTATATTGAAGGTGTGTAAATGTAAATACCTCTGTCAATAAAGTCATTTCAGAGGGAAAAAAAAATATCATTACTTTTTATCCAACCCTTGTTCATAACATTAAGTGTGCACTTAGGATGTTTTATTTAAACACTAGTGGTTATTTTGTAATTGCTATCAAATTGTATTATATTACTGTTTAACAAATGTGTTCATTTTAAGCAAACTGTTATGCATTATTACATTTACACTCTATTATAAAATGGCATTTAAATGATTTGAAAATGGTTCAAATGTGTCTTGTAACCATTCACAACATGTCTTAAAAGAACTGGGATCAACTAAACAAAAGCAGAAAATCAGCTCCACTGATTTTGACAAAAACCTTTCAGTAATAAAAAGTATGAATCAACTGATATTTTGTATAACTTAACACAAACTGTTTTTACTTATTTTTCAAGCAAAGTAGCACTTTCAGACAATAACTAAAAAGACAAAATTCAGTTCTACTCATCTGTCCAATATCTGTCACAAATTACATTTTCGGAAGAAAATTAAAAATACAATAAAAATGTTAAGGTTAAAAAACTCATAAGAAATAACACACACAAAAATTACAGAATTTGTTTGTATGTCAGTATATGATCTACAAGTATCATACATAGCATTGGTGAAGCTCATTTATACAGTAGCAAAAACATGGTTACATCTTAGAACTAATTTTACATAAGTTTTTTCTCTGCAAAGTTAGAAGAAATAATTTTAATCTCAGTTTCAGATTGATTTAGTTTTACAATTCAATTCAGAGTAGCGTTTTACACAAATTGTTTGCACTGCATCAATCGGGTTACTCTTACTCTGTTTTACAAACTATTCTAAGCATTTTTCAACTTTGAGCAGAAATAAATGTGCAAATTAATTCACAATAGAAGTGACAAAAAATATGAACACAGTGTAAGTATCTGCACATGTTCTAGATACTTTCTTCAAATTTATAATTAATTTAGCAAAATTTCACATTCAAAAAACTTGTCTGTATTAAAGGTTAGTATCATACATTCATATCTCCTATATATTGGAAACAATTAATACAATCTATGACTAAAGACTCACTTTCTACAAACAAAAATATTGATAACATCCAATTTTGAGAATATTATGTGTCTACACTACTTCAAATACCTCTGAGTGACCATATAAATATTAATACTGGTCATAAAATCATTTAGCAAATACTAAAAATAAAGAGAAACATGTAAGTCATGCACATTCCTGTCTCATGACAATGTACAGCAGAAAGGTTTTCCACTTAACACAATCAAACACCAATTCATTCTTTCAACATGTAGATATAATACTTAACCAGTCACACAAACCCCTTGTCATTCCAGCTACTAAGGAATTTTATTTTGAGCTTAATATTATAGATTACATATATTTAAACATATAATAGAAATTGTTGTGGAATGCTGTAATATGAGAAACATTAATGAGTTAAAAAAGCACGACCAGTATTCAAGGAGCTTTCCCTTTAATGAGAAGAGGGACTCACTAGCCAATGCCAGTGAATGTCACTCTTAAATATCATAAATGCAAAATCTGGTAAATCATGTTTTTCACTACATAGAATGCAGTTGTATCCTAAAACTTAATAAATAAATGTTTGCTTCTGAAAGTAAATGTACCTACTGATTACCACCACTATAACATGCAATTTTCTGAATCTTAGTAACTATGTCTATAATATGTACATTGATGAAAACAAGATGTAGTATAAAAACAATAATTATCCTTCACATAAGGAAATATGTGCAACCACTTACAAATATATAAAATACATGTAAACATATGGAAAGAACTCCATATAATTGGAGTACATAGCTAATAAACCTCTGTCCATGTCTTAAAACATACATTTTTTTATCTTTTATTTGGAAAGTAGCATTTTTCACATGGCGGCTAAAGTAATTCTTAAAGAAAAATACAATACTAGTATCCATACAGAATAATTTGAACATTCTCTCAACCTGCAACTTTCAAAATGCAATTAATTTTTAAATACATTTTCAAATGTCTGATAAAATTGAGCACATACTGTAAGTACAAAATTCATTTAAGCTAGAAATTGTCTTTTATAGCTCCCATGCATATAAAACATTTCCCTTGGCACAAGGTGATTTACAAACATGGTCCAAATATTACAAAAAGTATGTTGAAAATTCAGTTCTGTAAGTTTTATCACACTGTACCAAGCTGGAATTTAATCATCTCATACATCACAAAGGACTACTAAAAATTAACTATAATTTATGTAGAGTGTGATGAAGTGAATCAAATGATGAAACATCTCTCAGAAGAGGATTGATTCTTGGAATATTTAATTCATGGAAATATTGCATTCAAAGGTTTATGTTCACAACAACGTTTCCTGAGCAAAGGAATAAGGGTAAGCTGTTGTTCCGGAATGCTTTAAAAGGCTCTGAAAAGAAAGGCTTTCTTCAAAAAATGTTTTCCAAGGAATATTTAAGGTAAAGTGGCATCATTTTTAAAAAGGTAAGTGAAATTCATTTGGTAGGTGCAGGTCAGAAATCTGGCAGTGTTTGGATTGGCTCATAAGCATTGATGGCCAAGTGTAAACATCAGCTTAAAAACCTGTATTCACAGAAAATTGTACATGCCTGAGAAATTTGAGGTGGTGAGCTCTAGGCCATTTTCATGTCATTCCAATAGTCTAGAGGACATTCAAGATGAAGCAGGAAAGGTTTTAAAATTATTGTGTCTGGCATAAACCAGAAAATTATTTTAAATTTTTTATGACTTCATACGTGCTTATTTGCAACTGTCATTATCTTTCAACAATATTCACACTTCTTAACCACATTCACAAGTAATGCTAGTTCTTGATGAAATTTCAGGATTTTTTTTATTGTTTTTCAGACAAGATCCAGGTATCCAAGAATGTATTTTATATACAGGATGAATTTATTGAAGACATACACGGACTATAAAACAAAGCACTTTAATCATATATAGGGTATATGTTTAACAAATACATTATTTCACATGCAAAGGGGAACATTACATATATTGCAAATACAGAAATTAAGGTATGTAGCATAAATACTTGTTTTAACAATTTGCCCAGAATTTTATATTTTTAGATTACGGCGTTTCCAGAACAATCTCTTTCCTTAATATGAATGTATTACAATATCGATCATTAGAAAAGATTCCTTGCACACTCTTACATATTTACTTCAACACTACATGTACAAATGAATTTAACTTGTATTAATTCCATCAATTAAAGAAAGCAATGTTTTCACAAATATTTTTATTTCAACGAACTTTAAAAATAATTCCCAAATACAATTTTTTTGTACAGATGTAAGTAGTTCAAATTCTATCCACACTGCTATTTCCTAATATGTGACTTGCTTGGAATATTATATTAATTATGAATAAATAAGTTGATATAAATATGTATAAATAAATATTTTTTTGAAGGAACTATTTCTATGACAGAAATTTAGATTTGCTTCATAGAAATTGTCAGCAGCTGTAAGAGAGATTCCAGCCCAATTTTATTAATTAACATAAATTACAGGTTGAAAGTAGAAAATCTCTTGAAACTACATATTCCAGTTAAGTAACCCTTATATTTTGAATGAGATTTACTTAGATGGAAGATGGCTAGAGAAGTACAAATAAGGAAAAATCTACAACAGGTCTTGAGTTACTGCCATACATTCCTATCAGTCTGTTTGCCTTTACTGCAGAAGGCATTATACATATAATTCAAGAATTTTTAAATTTCCGTTAATTAAATGGTAATATGCAAATGAACTCCTTAACCACTTCAGTATTAAAATTGCAATCATTTATCACAAATTGTATGAAAGCTTTTTGTCATATCTCAAAGCAAGGACTTAGAGGAGGTGCATTTATTTAGTACTCCCACTTGGTAGCATTTTCGTAATCGGTGTCACCAAGACGGAAATTGCCATTCTTGTTGGCAATAAGATATTCCCCACCCACGCTCTTGATGCATATCCTGGTGGGTTCACGCAGTTCCAGGAAGAAACCTTCAGGTGTGTCAGAATCAGCAGTCACAGATTCTCCATCAACATGCCAGTACTTTCCATTTTGTCCTGCACAAAAATTAAAAATATTAGTCCTGCTTTAAAAGTTTAAGTTTGCAGGTAATACAATATCCAAGGTTAAAAAAGTGTAAGTGAATAAGGTTACCAAATGTGAATTTATGCAATATTATGCTACTAATTGTAAAAAAAAAATGTAATTCATAAAAAGTAGTTTTTCTTTTACTACCCCAAAGTTTTATAAAAATATGCAGTTTAAATAATATTGAATATTAATACATTACTATCAATGTGTAATAATAGTACAGAAATATTAAGGTTATAAAAACATGTTCAAAAATTAGAAAACAATCCTTACCCTTGAAGAAAACTACTCCCTTCTCACTTCGCTCAACTTGGATGGTTTCGTAGGTGGCCTTGTTGCATTCAAGCTTTGGTGATGATGCGCTCTTGTAACCAACGAAACCTTGTTCGCATTTCAGCACAAGAATAGGCCTGAAAAGAAGACAAATGGTTAGAACATTGGCTTTTCATATTACTTGCTGCACCACTGAAGGCAGATGAAGACTGATTTACAATTCTTAATGGTATTCCTAAATTAAAAGAAGCTAATAAAACACAAAAACTTCCATTTTCCCAATAAATTGGCATATTATGAAGCATGTAATGAAAAAGAAAGAAGTCTTCAAGATCTCATACATTCAAAATATTTTAATATTTTTTATGAAAACAAATTATATAGAGGTGTATTATCCACTTAAGAGAATTCTGTATTTACAGTACTATATTTTCTTTCTGAAAAGGAACGGTCAATAGATATATATAATTGAATAATTCAATTTTATATGTTATTAGACTATTATTTGAACCCAGATCTCTTGGTTTACACCCAGATGCTCTAACCACTGATCTACCGAGATGTCAATTCTTTTAACAGTTTGACATATTGCCCAATTAAATATGCTCCGTTAATCATTCTTTATAAGAAATTTGTATTTTTAATTATAGAGTGTGATAATTTATTAAATAATGTATTATTTGCACAATTTTGTTTAAAGTTCCATATATACTTTTGATATATTTTATTTTAATAAGTACTTTGCATCATCAATTTTATTTTGCCGAACATGAAAACTATTAGAGTTTTGTTTCATCATCTATTACATTATTATCAAGTAACACTGTAAAGGACATATATATCACAGAAAATATGAATCAAATTTTTTCTCTTATGAGAAGAATGTCGAGAATACAAATTTGAACCTAGTTATTTAATTCAGTATTTCACTAATGTTTACCTGTTGATGAGATAGAAGAAATATTTTGCATTGTCTTCCACAGTGTCACAGTTGGCATACAAGTGACCAGACCGCTTTGTAGCAATGTACTTTCCATTGTTAGCTCTGAAAGCGACAGCTCCACCATCTTGCCACACCAGGTCAAACAGAGCATTAGAGGATCTGAAACGATCATCAATAAATGTTATATTTGAATCGACGAAGAGTTTTTCTATTGGGCTTGAACCAATGTTTGTAAACAAGGAGTTTTCAACATATTCAGTACTAAGCATTTCTGAATTTTATTCGAGACAAAGAGAGGATAAAGTATATTCTTTTCCATATCATAACACTTGAAATTCCATTATTTACTTATATTTCTTTTGTAATTGAATGATTATTTTTTGAATGAACTGAGAGACTGAATATTATAAGAGATACTTGATGATGCATACTTCTTGTCACTGCTGGCCTGAATACCACCACCAGTTTCCAGAGTCCAGTAACGGTCCTGCATGGTGCGGATGTACCAGCGCTTGGTGCTATTGTCAAATTCCAGTTGGAAGGTCTCATGGTCAGAAATCTCATCCTGGTTTGCAGTAACATCCACACCTACAACAGAAAGAGCACACAAATGATAGAATAATAATTGAAAATTACATAAAAAATAAGAAAATAAGCGAGATTAATAAAAATAATATAAGTATGCAACACTAGTAAACAACAGCATTTGCTGACCTCAAGGTGAAAAGTTTGAAATAACCGAGTCTATTTTTATTATTTTTAAATTTTAAAAATAATTTGTTATCAAAATATTAAGGGCACAAGGAATAACTGTGAATTTGACAACTTATTTCCTTCCCATTAAACACTACTCAAAAAAATAAAACTCTTTACCACACACATGATTTAATATCTGTTTAAATGACTTGCTACATCAATAAGATAAACATAGATGACCAGAGGTGCACCCAAGAGGTTTCTTGGGGGGTTACAGTTAGCTGCCCAGCCAACCGTATGTTTTCTTGTAAAGAATTTTTCATTTATACTGAATATAAAATGTATTTTAATTTGTTTACATTTAGTTAATATTTATAATATAAAAAACTCACAAACTAAACCTTCATTATTACTTAACGAAATGAAAATTAATAAAAGCTATATTTAAAATGTCCATGATTTGCTTTGTGCACTGCGGGTATGATAACGTCACAGAGTGCGCCACTGCATATGACAATTCCATAAAGTAATTCTTCGCCTTTTAATCAAACTAAGATATTTTCTTAAGAAGTTATTTTTATTAAGAAGAATTAAGGTATTTTTTGTCAATGTTATTGTTCTATAAATTTCTTTTCCACCAATGATATTTTAATTCAGGGATCTTAAAATTAAATTTTTTTAGGAATATCAAATTCTAAACATTAATTTTAAAGGAATTTTTTTATGGTCTGTAACTGAACTAAATTATTGGACAACTAACAACTAGATATTCAACACCAAACACACTAATTGCAGATACAATCAGGACTTTATTTCTGGCGGAACGCGACGGAACGGCGTTCAATTACAATTTCTTGAATGTAATTATCAATTACATTGACATCCGCAATAAATTATTTACCTGGTACACTTTTGCACAGGTGCGAGTCTCCTTTAATTTTTATAGGTACATATTAAGAGATTTGGGGTATAACACGCAATTGCATTTCCAAATGAAGTACGAATTGTATGGGCGCCGCGAGTACGGCTCATTTCACGTAAACATTCCGAGAGGCCTGACCCACCGAGCGCCGGTTTGTCGAGGGCGGGGCCTAAAATACCCGACCTTGAGGCAGCCGCCCCTCGCGCCGCGGCTCCGGGGCGGAGTATTCGAGTCACACGCCGGAAGTGCCGCCGGCTCCTCCATCTGATAACGTCGCAGCGGATCCGGCGGAGGCGGCGGTGGCCACGGCGGACCAGGGGGCCTTTTCTCGAAATTCGAATGCCCTTTTTCGCATACAAATGATATGGATTTGGCCTCGGCCTAATGAAATTTGCGTTGCATTCTAGTGGAGATGCGACATCGATAACAAAATATCTATGTTTACAAACGATAAAAAAAAAAAAAACTTTAAACATTGATCAGAAACCATTTATTACTTTAAAGCTAGTTTAGTGATATCTAACATGCGTGCGGAACAAAATTTAATTCGACAGTGGCACATTTATTAATTTGTAATTAAGATTTATGTGAAAACAAAGTTGAAAAACTCTCTCCATGAGCGCATTACGAGGAAAGACTTGCGAAATACCCAGACTTTGGGAAACATCGATGTTTTGAAAACATCAGAGGCAATGTCGCATCCCTATTAGGGAGTTTGTGCACGCCGTAGCGTCAGCACGATCGTCTGTGCATGCGCAGATGCACTAATGTGATGCGAAACACGAATTGCGCAGAAGATCGATAGTGCTTAAACGTTCGAGATGGCACAAACTCGCTAATCTCAAGGCAACGGCGGGCAATGTTTCAATTCAACTCTACAATACAGCGACGAGTATTTGTAACGTGCCAAATTCGCAAATAGTGTGTATGGGAGAGCATTTGCCAAACCCTTTCCAACGTTCCAACTCCACGTTCCGTCGGTAAAAGGGCCCCAGACAAATGTTTGGTGCTTGACATTCGCCTAATTTGACAGTAATACGAGGCCAACTTGACTGATGTTCTTGAGACAAAGTTTTCCTAGCAGCCTTAGCCAATCGTGAAAGTTTTGATACTCGGGCCACAGCTCTGATTAGCACAGCACATTCAAAATGTCTCAAATTAAACATTGAAGTTTCTGAACGGATCGTTAAGAACCGATTGTAAAGAAATATTGGGAGTATTAATTATTTAGAACTCTGGTAAAAATGTCACATTAGGGCTTAGTGGAGTGATAGTGTTGTGCTTATACGTAATTTATTCTTTATCCGATGAGCTGAATGATCCCGTATTTTAAAATACACAGCCCTATTAATAATAATGTTACTAAATCATTTTGAGCGGTTCAGCCGAAACCTGCAAGTGCAAGATCTTTTTCTGAAAATTAAGGAAGAAGCAGACTATTGAAACGTTTGCTGCACTTTATACCAGGGAATAAACACCCAAACATCATTTCGTTACAGTGCACGAAATTTACGCGAACGAAACCGCTTCTGACAATCCCTCCAATAATGAGGCATTGGACCATACTAAAATTCCAGCCAGATCTCCAGACGCAGAGTGAGCAGAGTGGGTTGGGGGAGCGGGGGGGGTAGAAAAAAAAAGGCCAGCGAACACTGCTGCCGGCGCAACGTGAGGAATTGGAGGGGAAGGCGGGGGGAAGGGGAGGGCGAATGGGCAGCCGATAGACCTACTCGCTCTCATAAGCGCCGCCGCCGCCCGCGACTGTAGTTCCGCTTCCGACGAAAGGCAGCGACGCCCGCGGGCGGAGGCGCGGGCCGGGTCAGCGCCGGCGCTAACGGGACGACGGCGCCCGCCCCCCCTCCCCCTTCCCCTACCCACCCCCCGCCCCGCCCGCATCACCACTGGCCGCTGGTCGGCCCCCGTCCACGCAGTGTTCGCGTTCGCGGGTCTCCGAGTGCGTCTACAGCCGAGATCATTAGCCCTGTAAATGTACGTACACATTAGCCCTGTAATTGTAGTGCTAGTTTTATCGCGGGAGGTGCCTTATCTCTCCCCGCTGGGCGGCAAGATCCGGCGCAGACTTACGGGCATTTCCCGAACTAGTTATCTTCCACAAGCGTAACACCACCCCAGCGAGGGCACGCTCTGTGCTCCCGACTGATCTCCCTACAAGTGTGATTCTGTAGTGCATGTTAGTGTAAGTGAGGGACGAAGAAAGGAAAAGCTATGGGAAGGAAAGATCGCACGCCCGTTTGTTAGGGTACTGTTCAGGCATTTGCCAGTCACTGTTCAGAGAAACTACTGAAAACTACCCATCAAGAGCAGCCGGCCGCTGGAATTCTCCTCCAGACAGCAGCTGACTTATAATTTTTTTTTCACAAGCTTGAGCGCGCGTGGCCCACTGTCTGCGCTTCACTCGCCGGCTCACGCGCTGGCGCCCTCGCGACGGCCGCGGCGGCTAATTGAATTCCCGCAGCCGCGCGCGCGCGATAGGAAGAGACGGACGAGCGGAGCGGCGGCCGCGTGGGAGTTCTTGCGGAGCGCTAAGCATCCACGTCACCAATAGCTTTCCAAGTCTAAAGGACTTTTGCATCGCTTCGTTCTAGCGGGATGTAGTTCCGAACTGCGGTAGCTAAATTTCCAAAACGCTATCCTCTTCATTCGAATTTCTTCAAACAGTGCTGCTCATCAAACACTTATCTCGTTCATAATATCTGAATATTACTTTACAATGCGATCAGAAATTGAAAGAAAGCAACACAGCTTCCGGAAATGAGGTTTTATGATTTTTTTAGACACTCAGTAACTCGGGAAAAATACAAAACCAATTGAATAGTTTCGATTTTTTACTGAAAAGCGCAAATCTTTTGAGTTATTCCGCCTGTGCTCATACTGTGACTGAATTCCTATATTCAGTGTCACTGCTTACAACACAGATGTCGTGCGACAGCAATCCTCAAAGGAGAACATTGTTATACGAAAGTATATTTCGTTCTTGAGCAGTGAAATCGCTGCTGCAGGCCAGTTGCATTCAAATTTATTATTAAATTAATATTAGTAATGTAAGCACAGATTAACGACACCAACATTGGATTATGCATCACGGGAAATGAAAGTTAACAGCACGTTCCATCGCCATAGTTGGGAGTAAATTCCATCGACCATGACAGAGAGATCATTAGCATTCGACGTACGTCGCTCGCCGAATGTTTTGGAAAAGCGGACTCCGCTAACAGTTCGAGTTCGTGTTGGGGCATGCGCGGAGGCCCAAAAGCAGTATTCACAACAGGCGGTTCACGTATGTAAGAATTCTCTTTGGGGAGCCGATAAAAGGGTGTCTTTCAGACAGGTTTGTGCGTCCTTCCTCTAACAATGCGAGTAAGGAAGAAAGCATTTTCAACATTTTCGAAACTTAACGAACTGGAATTGGTAATTCTCGAATTGTAGGGTCCGAAAATAGAGAAGTGATGTTCTACGGATCCTATAACCTGTTGGATAAAACCAAAAGAAGTAACTTTCAAACACAATATTTGTAATGTCCTCATTTGTTTAGTAATCTCCAGGCTTTTAATTCGTTATCCTAGGACATTTAACAACTCTTCGTCTCGTTATAAGGTTTGTTCTCTTGTTTGAGTTTTCACAGAGATGTATCTATCGAGATCTAATCTGAAGAGAGATTCTATCACAAATGTTATGCATTTGGTATATTACAGTGGCATTATTTGAATTCTTTTGATACATCTACCCATTGCAGGGCGCAGTACCGAAATTAAAAATGCAGCTTTTGCCGAGGAATACGGGCCCGCAATGTTAACTACGCGCGTGCCATCTCCTATTTGATCTTCACTGATTGTGCCTTTCCACTGTCGAGCCTGACTGTTTTAACTTTCGATCGATGATCACATTTACGAATAACGAGATTCTCCAATTCAATTTGTAATGCCTCCAAGTGCACAAAATTTTAATTATG